TTCACATAGTCTGCTTAATTTCATTCATCTGTTGGTTTGTATTTTCTTTGACTTCACTTAATTGTTTGTTCATATTCTCTTTGAGGTCAAATACTAAGTTTTGTGTTTCTTTTTTGAAATTCTTAATCATTTTTACTATTGGTTTTGGAATTCATTATTTGATAGCATTATTTGTAGAGACACAGGTGTTTGGATCCTTAGTGGTGGAATTGGCTTTTGATGGAGAGCAGTTGTCTTGCTGTCTCATTCTGCATAGAGATTTACACATCTAGAGTTAGTTCGGATTATGGTTTTAATCACTTGTGCCCCTGTAGATGGTGTTTTAAGGTTTTTTCCTCCTAGAGCTCCAGCAGTGTTCCTCAGGGAGGAGTATGATGGATATGTTACCCCTTGTAGGGTTCTCATTATGATGCCAATTGCCTCTTTTCTCCCCTCAATGAGGGGACTGGAGTTCCCACTCTTTGATGGGGTGTAGGGGCTCTCCTGCAGTTGCATTGAGGAGACTGGTCCTCTGTGCACTGTGGGGAGGTAGGCCTTCTAGCACCAGCAGAGTAGTTAATTGCCCCTTGGTAGAGGAGCTAGGATTCCAACTCTTGGACAGAAGAGACATGACTCTCCTGCAGGGAGGTGCAGTGTGAAGTGCAGGGCTTCTTTTGTGTGTCTTTAGTGAACAGGGCTTCTGGTGCCACCTGCAGAGTAGCAAGTTTTAGCTTTTCTCCCCCAGTGGGGAATCTGACATTCTTGTTCTTGGATGGGAAAGCAAGAGCTCTCTTGCTGTCAGGGACAGTGGGGAGTGCTGAGCCTCCATGATCTGTGGGAAGGGAAGCCTCATGGCACCAGCAGATTAGAAAGGCCTGGAGCCTGGTGTTCACTTGGGTGTGTGGTAGCATGCTCCTGGCACTGTGTAGCAAGCTGAGGGTACTCCTTGGGCAGCAAGGCTATCAGGCTTGAATCGTCTGGTGTCCACCAGGCATCGGTGGCCCTGGGGTCTACTTGCATTGGGATGTGGGTTTCCAAGAGCCATGGCAGCTACTGCCAGCTTAGGAAAACAGAATCTGCAGGCAGAGGGCATTCAGGGCTTGATTTCTTGCACAGGCCTTAGGGAGTGCAGTTCTGTGGGACTACTGCCCACTCTGGCGAGCCAAGCTAGCAGGTGGCAGGAGTTTTGGGGCTGGATCTCCTGCACAGGCTTCTGGAAGTGCAGTCCCATGGTGCTGCTGCTGATTTAGGAGAACAAAGCCTGCATGTAGCTGGAGTTCCCAGCCCAAGCTCAGTTCTGTAGAGCTGTTGCTGACTTTGGCTTCCCTGGTGTTTCAGGGTAAGGTAGCAGGTCATTTATTAGGGAAGAGCATGGAGCTCTGAGTGTGTGTGTGTTGGGCAGTGGGCCTTACCACTGAGTAATGGAGCCTGGAGCTGTGCAGTGACTTCAGGGGCAGGGGATCAGGAGTGTTGGTCTGCAGATCATTCTTCCCATACTTCCCATGTTTAGTTATTTCTCTATTTGCAGATTTGGAGAGGGTTTTGCTTCTCACTTGTTATTGGGACCCTGTGGATGCCTTTTGGGGCCCTCTGATCTTCCTTTTTTGGGGGTAGTTGGTCGCTGCTAGGAATGTCAACAGTCCTTTATCTTAATCTCTCCCAGCCATTTTTTCACTATGTGTTTCTTATTATCTCTTATGTTTTCTCTTCAACAAAATCACAGAAAAAGAGGGCAGAACAGGTTCTACCTGGAAACGGAGGTGGGGGGAAGGTAGGTGGCCCAAACAATGTATACACATGTAAGAAATGTAAAACTGATAAAATAAAAGAAAAAAAGAGAGAAAGAGAAAAAGGAAGGAAGGAAGGAAGAGAGGAAAGAAAAGAAAAGAAACAACCAATCAAAAACCAAAGGAAAATGATAAAGATCCAGGGTGGTAAAAAAAAAATAATACGAATAATATCAAAAGAACTGATGGAGAATTTAAGCAAGAGACCCATAAAAATGTCAGGCAGAAAAGTAAGAATTCAATACTTGGAGTTAAAAGAAGATATGAAGAAGATCAGTGAGCAGGACACTAGGTTGGCAGAAAGGATCCAGATTTATCTAGAGTAATTGATAAGAAAAATGTAACTTTAAGTGGGCTAGAGATATAAAAACACAATTTGACAAAAACTAAGTTAATATGGTCAGTAAATTCATGAAAAGTATCAATATATTAATAATCAAGGAAATACAAAATAAAATTATAATGAGACACCACCAGCCACTCACCAGAATGACTAAAATTAAAAGGACTGAAAATGATAACTGTTGGTAAGGATACAGGATACAGAGCAAGCCTAACCTACAGAAAAATGAGTGCATATGCCTTTAGAAGCTCATAATAGCTACAAACTGGAAACATGACCATCAAATTCATCATTATTCATGATGTTTTGTGGGTTTCTTTTTTTTTACAAACAGATGCAGAGTGGTAAAAAAAAATTGAGTTATTGGTTGTACACATTCCTAGTTGAGATCTAACAAGGCAATAGGCTCAGCGTTCTTGTTCATTCCATGCAGAAATGTCCACAGGATGGAGAAATTAGAGGGCATAACACAACTATGGTGCAAAAACTCCAGCCTTGGGGCAGCTGGTGAGGGTTTGAATCCCAACACTGACACCCGTTAGTGGGACAGTCTCTCAGGAGAGTCACTTAACTTCTGAATTTTGTTTTCCCTTTAACAAAATAATGAAAATATAATCCACCAGGATGAGTAATTATCTGATTTAAGGTTTTAATCTATACAAGGTATGTATGTTTATATGTGTATGTGTGTGTATATAGACATATTTCCTCTAGGAATAATGGTTCTATATTTCCTCAGTGTTTTTGTCAAATTTATAGAATATAGTTACTGGAAGTAATGATCATCAGCTGTGTGTGTAGAGAGAAGAATGTGCACATGTACACTATATTTTTATATATAGGTATGTGTATATATTATGTCCATACATATACATGTGTAAAAATTACACAGCATTACAAAGCTACTGCAACATTGTTGCAAATTACTGCAACAATCAGCAACAGGGATCAGTCTCTCATACAAATAGTCTTAGACAGAGGAAATGAACTCTTTCAGGTTATAATACATATATACATGGAACTATCCCAAGGAAACCAGTGTATAACTATCTTAAACAAACAGAAATGTCTTTTTTTAAAAACAAAAGCAGGGAATATGAAGGAATAGGAGGGAAGAATCTTCCTTGTCTGGGGGTTGGTACCAGGATGGGGGAGGCTATAAGGACAGGGTGTAGGAGGGTTCATATGGTGGAAATATTACGTACTCGTGTATGAAATGGGAAAGAAATGAGACCTGTTGAAACAATTCCAGGAATGGGAGGAGGGGGGATAAAGGAGAATGATGGAGGGAGTGAATTCAACTGATACATTGTAAGAACTTTTGTAAATGTTACCATATACCCCCAGCACAACAATACTAAAAAAACAAGAAATGAAAAAAATAATCCAACTAAAATAATTTCAACTGTACACTTCCATTTATATAAAGGTCAAGAAATGCAAAATTAACCTATGGTAAGGCATCAGAGTAGTAGTTACCATTAAGAGAGGACTTTTGACTTGGGGAGAAGGTAACCTCTTGTGGAACTATAAATATGGTTATATGAATGTATGTGCAATTTTATCAAGCTTTAGGGTTGCTGACTTTACTAAATTCAAATTTCAATGAAACATTAAAATAAGACTAAAGACAATGCCTCAAGTGTTTTTCTTCAAATTGAATATTGAGTCATTAGTCATAATTTTAATTTTCATCATCTTCCTCTCAAAGATGTTTTATTATTTCAGAAATCTAAATATGTTTATGTTGCTGTCTTACACATTTACCCAGGAGATTCTTCTATGTTAGGACTTAGAGAAAAATATGATACCTGGAGAACTGAAAATCTTGACTCTGTCAGAAATCCTGTATCCAAGATGGTGAAAAAATTTTAACATTTCTTTGTGTGGTTTTTCAACCTGCTTATTACTCTTACAATATTATCACACAGAGTAACAAATGTGCAGTAACATTCTCACAATTTCTAAGTTCCAATGCAGGAAACATATTATTGACATTACAGCATGAAAGTAAGTTTATTTTTGATACAAAACCATCAGTTTATATCTGTGGTCACAAACAACTTTTATCAACAAAAGGGCCATATAATTTAATAATATTTCCTCAAAGTGTACAGTCAGAACTGATCAGGTTAAGTGGGTCTCAAGTTTGTTCTCTCTGTCTAGAGCTAAAACCTGATTGCTTCAAGGCAACCAAACAATGTCAGATAGTCTAAAACTGTCATGTCTGTAAAAAAGGAAAGGGAAGAGTCAAACAAAATAATTTGCAAAAGTAAGCACCAGGAAAAAAAGTTACCAGGAGAAAAAAATGGCTGGAAATGGATGAAGCTGGGACTGCAGGAGGCATCAGCAATTTGTCTCAGACTTACTGGGATTCACTGGTACCTGCTCTTGATATCTTTCCTGCCCTTCAAGCACATTCTTCCTGACAGCCATACCTTTGACCTTCCTAAAAAGGTCTTTACATCTTTTCTGCAAGCTTAGAATTTTCTGTCAGAGAACAGATTTTCCCAAATGTTTATACAGGCAGTTCCAGAATATTTAAGCTACAATACACAATCAGGATGTGATGCCTCTGCACAAATGACACATACATTTGAATATATAGCTGTTTTCATACAGACTTACTTATTAAATGCCTCCCCTCTTTATAGCTCTGATACTATATTATTGCACATGCTTAATATCTAACTCCATGATAGACTAGAGCTGAGCCTACATACACCCATACACACACACACACACACACCAGATTTCTCATAAAAAGTATGTATTGCACAATGAATGAAAATTTGTCCAATCCCTTGCATCAAACATGAAATAAACAAAAATTGATTCCTCAAAATTAGTTATGGTGATCATCTGAATTACCTAACAATAAATTGACTCACCTCCATTTTCAAAAGCAGAAATGTCAGTCCTTGGTTTCCTATCCGATGGTGTTTTCATCTCACCTTGCCTTTCAAAATGGCTAAATTTTGTTGGCACTGTAAGCCCATCTCCTAGAAATGAGGAAGAAAAGAAATAAAAACTCATCTCAAGAATCATTAAATGCTCAAATAAGATTATGATAAAATTCATGATAGAAGTAAATAGCTTAAAAGTTAATGCAAATACTGTTTGTACACCGACCTGATAAACAATATGTAAATACATTAATTTTAAGTATTTTCTTTTTTTAATACATATAATTTTTATTTGTCAACATACCTTAGAAAACTGAGGGTTATAAGGTAAATAGTATAATGGCAGTTACCAGAGGATGGAAGGAGGGTAGTTAAAGTATATAAAGTTATAGTTATACAAGATAGTAAGTTCCAGGATTGGGGGTGTGCCTCAAGTGGTAGAGCAACTTCCTAGCAAAGTGTGGACCCTGAATTTAAACCCCAGTACCACAGACACAAAGAAAAGTGAAATAGTTCCAAAATGCACTGAAAGCTGTGGAATAATGGAGGGTAGGGGGAAAAGGCTAAGGGAGAGTAATGGGAGGGTTAAACTGATTAAAGTACAATATATTCATAGGTGAAATACTATGGAAAAACCCCTTTGAACAATGAATATACACTTCAAAAAAATGAAGGACAGAATGTGAAATAGGTCTTGTTAGGGGGTGGTTATTAGTGGGATGGGGAGAGAAAATGGAGAAGGTAAAGGATGATGAATATGGCTAATGCGCTTTATATACTTATATGAAAATAGAACAATGAAACAGGTTGAAATTGTTTTTTAAGCAGGGGGGAGGGGAGTAGGGAGAATGGTGGCAGGGTGAATCTAACCAAGACACACAGTAAACATACATAAAAGTGTCATGATGAAACCCCCCTGTACAACTAACATATGCTAATAAAAATGTTTTTCAGGGATGGCAGAATTGCCATCAAAGCAACAAGTAAGTTTATTCTCCTGTTTGGGTTATTAATCATGTAATAGCAATATTCATATTTAGATAGTGAGCAAAAATCCAAATGTGGCAAAATACTAACTTTTGGGGAAAATCTATATGAAGGATAAACAGGAATTAACTGAAACAATTTAAAAATGAAAGATTTGAAAAACATATTGAAAAAACTATGTATAATTGGCTTTATAATATCCTGCCTTTAAACTTATTTTCTTGTTTCTTTCTTTTTTTATTTTTTTCTTGTCTGATTAACTCAAACTGGCAATCTCTTTCTTTAGATGGTTCCCACAAAAACCTTCAGACTGTTCTACCATCTGGTGGTCTGTTGCTGCCACCTACTGTCATATGTTTAGTTTGCCGTACACAGATTAGTTAAGGCAGCTAGTGTAGGTGTTCTGATCCCTGCTGTGTACTTGATCTTCAGACTTTCCCAATATCCATCTCTGTCTCCTCTCTCTCCTTTCCCTTTCTCTTTCCCCCAGAGGAACAAGGATTAAGTTATCTCTTACTGTTGTAAAATGTGTTATTTTAAAATTTTTGTTAGCATAAATTAATTGTTTAAAGGGGTTTCATTGTGATATTTACATACATGCATATAAGGTTAACTTGGCTAAATTTAAGAAAGACTGTATTACTTTTTCTTAACCCTCCTTTTTCTTCCCCCTCTTTTTAAACAGTTTTTAGTGGGCTTCATTATACCAAGCAAAATGTATTCTTGAACTTACATTAAGGCCAAGAAAACTATATAAACTCATGGCATCCCTGGGTTTTTTTTTTTTTTTCTGTGAGTTTTTGGTTTTATATCCAGAATGTAATGCTTTCCTTATCTTGCCTTCAAAGGCAAAATGTTCACTCGCAGCAGCAAAATCAGAATCACTAAAGTAAGTTCCATAAAAGACAAAACCTGGGGACTTGGCTCAAGTGGTAAAACACATGCCTAGCAATCATGATGCCCTAAGATTAAACCCAGTACTACCACCCCCCAAAAAATGAAATTCAGAGCCTGGGATTTGTCCACCCAGCAATGCCCTGTAATTGCCTGGTACACCTTTATTCTGCCATTTGCAGAAGAAAGATATCATTCTGCCATCTCCCTTTTTGTCCTTCTTGGACTAATTTATCTTATCTGTACAGAAAGAAACATCTCAACCTATTTCAAGGGGAAATGATGAGAACAAAATTATTTACAGGATTCCTGCATGGGGTGTGAAGTGTCCCCTGTGTTTATGAAGTCTGTTCACTCTGTGCCTCCTCTAGGAAAGCATCATTACGTTAATAGCAGCTTTTCATAGGAAATTTGGGTCACCCAATGAAAAGATTTCCTTCTCACTCTCAAATCTGATGTATTATTTATCATTTAATCTGAATCCAGTGAACACTAAACTAAATAATTCATAGTGTCTCGCACCACGTATCTCTTCCACATCACTTTGAATGTTGCCTTTTCATTTCTTACCTTCTTGCAATTCACTGCCATTTTCCAAAGGTTTTTCCAACTCTTTTTCTGCTGTGGAAGGTATGCTTTTTGGCGATGGAATATCTGGAGGAGTATGAAATCTATAGTATTCACCTAATCTCCCATAAGAAAAGAACAGTTAGTATGTGTATCACATCAAATATTGGAAAATCCACAAATGTTTTATTTCTTACCAGATTTATAACACATCTCCTTTATTGCTCTTTTTTCTTCAATTTCCTCAGGAGTCTTTGTCCATAAACTAGAAGCATCTATAGGACATATTGTTTTTAAAGTAAAGTGTCCCAAATCCAAACAATCTGAAAATTTGTAAATCAGAAAGAAAAAATCCCAAATATTGTTTTCATAGGTGGATTATTCTTTTTCTAAATTTTAGAGTCAAGAAGTTTACATATTGATAAATGTTTCTAACTGCTATCATTTGAGTTATAAGGAGGAATCAGTCAAGGGAAAAGAAATGAGAAAATATGTGATTTGAAATGAGAAGTGGAGGCATGGACTCACATGTTGATGTTGTGTATGGAAGATGCAGACATGTGGCATATGGGGATATCCCAGATTTTAAACAAAAGAGAGAGCAACAAGTTTCTAATTCTGTGTATTCTGACATGCAGAAACTATGGTGTCCTGCAGCCCATAGAAGGACACATTCCAAGGTAGAGACAGAGCATTTATTTTTCTGTGTCTGTTTATCTTGTATGTGTAAAGCAACTGCCACCCTTGTTTTGTAATATAAGAGGAAAAGAATGGACTAAGAGGCAGAAGACTTGGGTCCTAATTCTGTCCATACTCCTGCTAGAATTACCAGGGATAGTGCAGATAATAGTGCTTTATAAATTATAAACTATGCTATAAACCTTTATAAGTCCAAGGATTAAATACAAAGACAGATGACTAATTGAAAGATAAACATGAATCCATAAAGGGCAAACCATAAAAATGGGAGGAAAAAAGAAATTAACAGAGAATGGAAAAGTTACAAGTAGAAAATAGAATTTTTGAGCAGTCTGTTTAGAAAGTAAGACAATTTAAAAATAATGCAGATCCAGGTGCTGGTGGCTCATACTTGTAATTCTAGCCAGTTGGGAGACTGGGATCAGGAGGATTGCAGTTTGAGGGCAGTTTAGGCAGATTTTGTAAGATCCCACCTCAAACAATAGCTGTGCCTCATAGTATGCACCAGTCATCCCAGCTACATGGGAAGTGTGAAAAGGAGGATTATTGTTCAGAGGTCAGCTGATCATAAATATGAGACCCTATCCCAAAAATAACCAAAGCAAATAGGGGTTAGGGTATGGCTCAAGTAGTAGAGCACCTGCCTAGCAAGTGCAAGGCCCTAAGTTCAAACCTAAGCACTGCCATAAATAACCTAATAAATTATATTTATTTAATAAAATTAAAATTATTTTTTCACCCAAATCTGTCCTGTACATTATATCATAAACTCTACTAGTTAAACAAATATGTAAAAAGTATTGTGAGGTTTTTAATGTGCATTATAGTCAGAGAAAAAGTGTACCAACCATTTTGTTCCTCTTCCTCTTCCTCTTCCTCGAAGTTAGTTTTTAAAACCAAAGGATGGTGAATGGGTCGTGATATATTCTCCTGAGGTTTCAGAGGTTCCTGACTCTGGATTGAGGATGGATTTCCTTCCTGACTTTCTTTCTGTAGTGTGATAGCTACAGAGAAAATACAACACTTTATTCTGTTAAAGATATATTGTGATGACTATTTTCAATGACCAATTATTTGTTTCTTAATTACCTCATATTATTTTAAAATATTTATCATTTTTAAGAGATCATTAAACCAACTTATAATAAGTATCAAATCTTGCCTGCCACTCATGTAAAATGTATTATTTTATAGACATTAGACAGCCATTATAATCATGACTTGGTGTATCACAACTTTTGTATGATATATCACAACACTGGTGGGTCCCTAACTTAGGATGGTTTCACTTTATTACAGTGTGAAAGTGATGGGCATTAAGTAGGACCTGCACTTCAATTTTTGAATTTTTATCTTAGGTTAATGATATTCAGGACACACCCTTGCATTTTGGAGCAGTGGCAGTGAATGCCAGCTTCCAGTCAGCCATGTAAACATAAGGGTAAACAGCTAATACTCTGCAGTGTACTGTGTTGCTATCATGCTCTGGTAGGTTAGGTGTATTAAGTGCATTTTCAATTTACACATAGTTTATTGGGATGTACCCCAGTGTAAGACAAGAAGCATCTGTAAATATAAACTGAAAACAAGCATTACTGTAATCATATGTAAGATCAGTGAGATAAGAATAACTATGAGCTAGGAAAAAAATCATATAAGCAGGGCTTATAATGCCAGAGTATTTACAGAAGAGAAATAAAGATTCAATGGATCTAAGTTTTCTGTGGCTGGGAGGAAACTACTTGAGAAGTAAGAAGAATGGTACTTTGAGATTTCTCTACTGGGCACTCAGTGGTCACAATGGCCAAAATTCTTGGTTATGTTTTAAAGTATTTTTAATCTATAAAACCAACCAGCAAATAATGAAATACAAAATTGTGAACATATGAATCATTTATCATTATAAAGTCAACTTCTTTTGTTCTCTAAACCCTTGATTATCAAATCTGGCTGATCAGATTCACCTAGAGAAATTATCTTTTGGATCTCTGATTTCGAAGTTTCTGACTCAGTAGGTCTAGATGAAAGCCTGGAAATCTGATATTACTTTTTAAAATCTCAAGTAATTATGAAATCAGCCAACTTTGTAAAACATTGATCTAAATCAATAGCCAAGTAGCTGTGATACTTCATCAGAAACCTATCACTGGGTATACCATTCCAATGCTTTGAAAGCAACCAATCCTATTCTAGATCCTCAGTTTCCATGTGTATTTTCCCCCTAAATCTGTTTTGCCTGAGAACCAACCTGAGCTCAAAACAGTCTTTTTTCCACTTTACGAAACAAAGGCCTACCCTTTATTTAGGGCAAAATGTACCATAGAATATTGACCCAAAAATATATCCTCCTTTAATGACTTATGAAATTATAATGAAGCTAAATGGCTTTCTTTATTTTATTCATTGATTTATACATATTTGTGTCAAGAGAAAGTCATGGGTGCTATACAGAATAATGCCCATCCCCAAACACTGTGCTGATCTCCAGAACCAGTGTATGTGCTAGGTAATATGGGAACAGAGATTTAACACCATAGACAGAATTAAGTTTGCTAACAGCTAAACCTAAAAATGGTAGATTGTCTGGATTATCCAGATATGTCCAAGGAAATAAAAAAAGCCCAAGGTAAAATCAGAAGAAAGGGCTGGGAGCATATTTCAGTGCTAGAGTACTTTCTTAGCATGCTTGAGGCCCTAAATTCAATCCCAAGGACCACAAAAAATATAAAGTGGAAAAGAGATATAGAAGAGAGTCACAGAAATAGGTGTGATAACAAAAGAAGGCTAGTTGACATGGTGTCACAAGGCCTCAATGTCGATGTTAACTTTGAAGGTGGAGAAAGGAGGTCATGAAGTAAAGAATATAGGTGTCTGTGAGAAACTGGAAAAGACAAGAAAATGAATTCTCTCCTAAAGGCTTCAGAAAGAATGCAGCCTGCCAAGACCTTTTAAGTGTATACATCAATGCTGTTTTCAGTGGTTTTTAGTATATTCACAAAGTTGTGCAATCACCACTATGATCAGTTTAAAAACATTTAACCACTCCAAAAAACACACACCTATTAGCAGTTACATGTCAGGCAACTTTATTAAATCACTAATATATTTCTGGTTTCTATAGATTTGCCTATTCTGGATATCTTATATGAATGGACTCACACAATATGTGATCTTTTGTGAATGACTTCTTCTACTTATCATGTGTTCATGGTTCATCTATGCTGTTATAAGTATCAGTACTTTATTTATCATACATTAATTATACAAGAGGGTTTCATTGTGGTGTTTCCATAGATGCAAACACTGTACTTTGAACAAGGTCAACTCTATTATACTCCTTTAACCTCCCTCTGAACTCTCACACTTTCCCTTTTTTCAAATAGTATTAGTGAGTTTCATTATTTTATATATATATATATATTATATATCTACCTATATATATATAAGGATATATATATATAAATTACGTATATAATGTACTTTGATCCTGTTCACCCCCCAGTACTTTCCTCTTTCCCATCCAGCAGTTCTTTTATATTCATTCCCATTATAGTTATTTGTTATTATTACTATCATCATCATTTTAGATCTTAATTCTGAATATGAGTGAAAGCATATGCTATTTGGCTTTTTGAACTTCGTTAACTCCAATTATCTCCAGTTCCATCCATTTTCCAACAAACCACATGATTTAATTCTTCTTTATGGCTGAGTACTACTACTATATATACAAATCAAATTTTCTTTAGCCATTTATCAGTTGTTGGGCCCTAGGCTGCTTCCAAAGCTTGACTATTGTGAATAGTGCTGCAAAAAATATGGGTGTCCATGTATTTCTCCTGTGTGTTAATTTATACTCCTTTAGGTACAGGAGTATCCTGGTACAGCAGGGGCTATTTTTAGTTTTTCGATGAACCTCCATATTCATTTCCATAGGGCTGCACTAATTTACAATCCCACCAAAAGTGCATAAAGGTCTTCCCCACATCCCCCTGATCCTGGCCAGCATTTGTTGTTGTTTACTTGATGAAAGCCATTCTGACTGGGGTAAGATGGAATCTCCATGTCATTTTGATTGGTATTTCCTTTATGACTAAGGATGCTGAACATTTCTTCATGTACTTACCATTTGTACTTCTGAGAATTATCCCATTTACATGCCCATTTATTAATTATTTGTTCTTTTGGTGTTTAATTTGTTGAGTTTGTATATTCTGAATATTAATCCTTTACCCAATAAATACCTGGCAAAGAATTCTCTACCATTCTGTTGCTCATCTCTTCTTTCTGGTAATTGTTTCCTTTGATGTGCAGAAGCTTTTTATTTTTATGCAATCCTATTTGTCAACTCTTGTTCTTATTTCCTGGACAATTAGAGTCCCATTCAGAAAATAATTGCCTATGTCTGTATCTCCAAGTGTTCTTCATATGTTTTCCTGCAGTAGTTTCAAAGCTTCAGGAAGATCTTTGATCCATTTTGAATTGATTTTTGTATGTGGTGAGAACAAGGGTCTATATTCAGTCTTCTACGTAATCTTCTACACATGTATATTGTTTTCCCAGCACCCTTCATTGAAGAGACTATCATTCCCCAATTTGTGTTTTGAGCTCCTTGGTCAAATCAAATGGCTGTAGCTTTGTGGGTTTATTTTGGGTCTTGCATTCTATTCCATGGGTTCTCATGTCTGTTTTTTTGCCAGTATCATGCTGTTTTTGTTACTATGGCTGTATAGCATAATTTGAATTCTGGTATTGTAATACCTCCAGGATTGCTTCTCTCTCTCTCTCTCTCTCTCTCTCTCTCTCTCTCTCTCTCTCTCAGGATTACTTTGGTCTTTTGGGGTCTTTTATGCTGCCATAAGAATTTTAGGATTGATTTTTCTATTTCTGTGAAGAATAATATTGGGATTTTTATGAGAATTTCATTGAATCTGTAGATTGTTTTTGATAGTATAACCATATTAACAATATTAATTCTGTCAACCCATGAACATGGGAGGTCTTTCCATCTTCTGGTGCCTTTTTCAATTGCTTTCTTCTAAGTTTTATAATTTTCATTGTAAAAGTCTTAGTTATTCCTGGGTATTTTTTGAGGCTATTTTTTTAAATTATCATTGTACTGGGGGTACATTGTGACATTTATAAAAGTTCTTACAATATATCACAGTTGAATTCACCCCCTCCATCATTCTTCTTCCCCCTCCCTCAATTCCTGGAACAGTTTCAACAGGTCTCATTTTTCCATTTACAAATGTGTATATAATGTTTCTAACATATTCACCCTCTTACACCCTTTCCTTATATCCTCCTACCTCCCACTGGTACCAACACCCAGACAGGACCTGTTTTGCCTTCTCTGGTTTTTATTTTAAAAAAAATACATTGGGAATGGAATTGTTTACTTGGTTTCTTTCTCAGTCTGTTCATTGTTGGTGTATAGAAAAGCTATGATTTTGTATATTTATTTGTACCCTGCTGCATTGCCAAAAATATTTATCAGATCTATGAGTTTTTTATTGGAGTCTTTAGGGTCTTTTAAGTATAGGATCATATCATCTACAAATAGGAACAATATAACATCTTCCTTCCCTATTTGAATCAGTTTTATTTCTTTCTCTTGCCTTACTGCTCTGGCTAGGAATTCCAATATTATATTGAATAAGACTGGGGAGAAGCTAAGCACCAGTGACTCACACCTATAATCCTGTGTACTTGGGAGGCTGTGATTGGGAGGATCATGGTTTGAGGACACCTTGGACAAATGGTTTGCAAGACCCCATCTCCAAAATAATCAGAACAAGATGGACTTGAGGTATAGCTCAAGCAGTAGAGTACCTGCTTAGCAAGAGTGAAGCCCTGAGTTCAAACCCTGGTCTAATATGTGAATGGATAAATTAATTAATTAAATTAAGAAAGTCTCATTCTTGACTTCAGAGAAAATATGTTTTCTCCATTTAGTACGATGTTGGATACACGTTTTCCATATATGACCTTATCATATCAA